CCGAAGCCGACACTTCCCAATACTTCCTCGCCGGAAGCAACCAAGTACAATCTTGCCCTGTCCAACGGGGTTAAACGGTTAGATCCCACCCCCCCGAAAGCACTTCCGCGTCCTCTCTAGGAATCCCGGAGGACCTCGCCTCGCAGGCGGGGCGGACCAATCGGCGCGGATATGGACGCGGGCCCCGAGTCCCAGCCCACCCTCAGTGACTCGCACGTCCCCAGGGCCCCCGAAGCCGCTCGCACAGCATCATCAAAGCGAGGAGGCAAACGGAGCCACCCTCTCCCCTGCTCCAACCCAAAGCCATTGAAACAGCCCAAGCTCCTCCCCTTTCAGTGGGGCGGGGTGGGGGAGGGGCCTCAGGGGTTGGGCTGAGGTTGCTCGTGTCTGATTGGCCGGGGAGCTTGAGCCTTCCCCCACCCCCAACGCTCTGCGCCCGGATTCGAAGTAGGTCTGTACCTTGCTGAGAGCTCGCAAACCTCGCTTATGTTGAATTTGGGGCCCTTGGGTTTTCTTCACCCGCATCCTCGCTACTCTCACTACCCACTTGTCAAAGACACCCACCTCTTGACCACCGCAGTAGGCTCAGAAGGCCGATATCTTCAACGTCACACCCGGGAGTCGCGGGGACCATCGGCTCCCAGGACTACATCTCCCGGGAGGGGGCGCGCGGGACTCGCCGGTTGGTCAATGGGGGCGCGCCTCTCTTTGCAGCCTCGGTCTCGCGAGCCTATCAGAAGGTGGCAGAGCCGGGATTCGTGTCCTCCGAAGCCCCGGCAGGAAGGCTGGGGGTGGGCGGAGGGAGCGGGGCATCCCTTTGAAGGAAGGGGCGTTGCTTACGCAGGGCTTCCCTGGCCAAGGGGTTCTCATCCTTAATGATACCTCTTTTCAGCCAGACGCGGGGTCCCATGTTTGTAAGCCTAGCGAATGGACAGGCTAAGGAAGGAAGATAGCTTGAGCACAAGAGTTCGAGACCAGCCTGGGCAACATAGCGAGACCCCCGTCTATTTGTAATACCCTCCCTTGGACGGGCTCCGTGACTCACACCTGTAATGCCAGCTTTTTGGGAGGCCGAGGTGGGTGGATCACCTGAGGCCAGGAGTTCGAGACCAGCCTGGCCAACATGGTGAAACCCCCGTCTCTACTTAAAATACAATAACTTAGCTGGGCGTGGTGGCGCGAGCCTGTAATCCCAGCTACTTGAGAAGCTGAGGCAGGAGAATGACTTGAACCCTGGAGGTTGAGGTTGCAGTGAGCCGGGATCGTGCCATTGCACTCCAGCTTCTGCAACACAGTGAGACCCCATCTCTCAGTAATAATCTCTCCTGATTTTTTTTTTTTTTTCTGAGACAGAGTCTCGCTCTGTTGCCCAGTCTGGAGGGCAATGGCACGATCTCAGCTCACTGTAACGTCTGCTCCCAGGTTCTAGCAATTCTCTCCTGCCTCAGACTCTTGAGTAGCTGGGATTACAGGCACGCTCACCACGCCCGGTTTATTTTGTATTTTTAGTAGAGACAGGGTTTCCCCATGTTGCCCAGGCTGGTCTCGAACTCTTGACCTCAGGTGATGCTCCCGCCTCGGCCTCCCAGTGCTGGGATTACAGGCGGGAGCCACCGAGCCCAGCCAATCTCTCCTTTTCATATTTTCATATGGTGCCTTATAGTTCCCAAGCCCCACCCCAGTGCCCTGCGCCGTTCACAAAGTTGATGGGCAGGCAGGAAAAGAGTTACTGTTGCCACTGTTTTACAGGCGCGAAGGAAGGACCTGCTGTGAAATTGCAGCATCTGCAAAAAGATGAGAAGATATTTAGAAGTTAAAGGTCTCTTTTCAGGGAACCTAAAATCTTGCATTGTAAGTAGCTTCCTATCTAGGACCGAACCCCAGGTGAATGTTTGCATTGCCTGTATTTTGTGTGTGAGTGAGGTGGTATAGGATTTTGCACCTATGGCTTAATTTCGTTGCCCTTATAAAGTTGTTTAATGTCTATGAAAGTTGCTCCAGATGGGCATGGTGCCTCACGCCTGTAATCCCAGCATTTTGGGAGGCCGAGGTGAGAGGATCACTTGAATCCAGGAGTTCAAGACCGGCCTGCCCTTTTTACCCTGTCTCTGCAAAAAATAAAATAAAATTAGCTAGGCATGGTGGTTCATGCCTGTAGTCTCAACTACTCAGCAGGCTGAGACTGGAGGATCACTTGAGTTCAAGAGGCTGGGGCTGCAGTGAGTTATGATTGTGCCATTGCACTTCAGCACCTCAGTGACAGAGACAGCCCCTCTCACAAAAAAAAAAAAAAAAAAAAAAATTTCAGGTGGATACCCATTCTTTTCTAATATATTTACCTTCATTTGAATTATTTATTTATTTATTTTTATTTATTTAATTTGAGACGGAATCTCACTTTGTTGCCCAGGCTGGAGTGCAGTGGCGCGATCTCGGCTCGCTGCAACCTCCGCCTCCCAGGTTCAAGCGATTCTCCTGCCTCAGCCTCCCGAGTAGCTGGGATTACAAGCACGTGCCACCACACCTGGCTAATTTTTTGTGTTTTTAGTAGAGACAGGGTTTCACCGTGTTAGCCAGGATGCTCTCGATCTCCTGACCTTATGATCTGCCTGCCTCGGCCTCCCAAAGTGCTAGGATTACAGGGGCGAGCCACCGCAACAGGCCTGAATTATTTAAAAATACCTTTTGCATTTCAGTAATTTATTTCTTAAATAGATAACAGATTTGCACGAGTCAAAATTCAGAAAGGCACTTAAAGTCTTCCTCTCATTCTCTTTCTACATTCATTTTTCTCTCTAGAGATAGCCAAGATGACTAGTTTTTTTTTTTTTTGAGATGGAGTTTTGCCGTTGCCCAGGCTGGAGTCAATGGTGCGATCTTGGCTTACCGGAACCTCTGCCTCCCGGGTTCAAGCAAATTCTCCTGCCTCAGCCTCCCATGTAGCTGCGATTACAGGCATAAGCCACCATGCCCGGCTAATTTTGTATTTTTTAGTAGAGACGGGGTTTCTCCATGTTGGTCAGGCTGGTCTTGAACTCCCGACCTCAGGTGATCCACCCACCTTGGCCTCCCAAAGTGCTGGGATTACAGGTGTGAGCCACCGCACCTGGCACCATAGGTGACATTTTTATGTCTAGTTATTAAACATGCCTGGATTGATAAATAGTGTTTGGTTTGTTTGGGCGTGGGGTGGGGACGGGAGTTGCTTGAACCCAGGAGGCGGAAGTTGCAGTGAGCCGAGGTCTGGAGTTCAAGACCATCCTGGCTAACATGGTGAAACCGCATCTCTACTAAAAATACAAAAAATTAGCCGCGTGTGGTGACACGCGCCTGTAATCCCAGCTACTCGCGAGGCGTAATCCCAGCTACTCGGGAGGCTGAGGCAGGAGAATCGCTTGAACCTGAACGAGGCTCCATCTCAAAAAAAAAAAAAATTTTTTTTAAATTTTGTATGGAGACACAGTCTCACTATGTTGCTCAGGCTGGTCTGGAACTCCTGGGCTCAAGCCATCCTCTCATTTTATGCAAGTTGCAAGTCACCAGCAGCTTGACATCAACCAAGGCACTTTGTTTTAGAGATAGACTCTTGCTCTGTCACCCAGGCTGGAGTGCAGTGGTCGGATCATATCTCACTGCAGTCTTGACCTCCTGGGCTCAAAGGATCCTTTGACCTCAGCCTCCTGAGTAAGTGGTGTGTCAGGAGTTGGTTCCTTCCGGTGGGTTCTTGGTCTCCCTGACTTCAGGAATGCAGCTGCGGACCTTGGCAGTGAGTGTTACAGCTCTTAAAGATGGCACGGACCCAAAGAGTAGCAGCAAGACTTACTGTGAAGAGCAAAAGAACAAACCTTCCACAGCATGGAATGGAACCCCAGCAGGTTGCCACTGCTGGCAGGGGTGGCCAGCTTTTAATCCCTTATTTGTCCCCTCCATGTCCTAGTTCTGTCATATCAGAATGCCCTTTTCTCCATCTTCCCTGCGATTGGCTACTTTTAGTATCCTGCTGATTGGTCCATTTTACAGAGCACTGATTGGTGCATTTTACAAACCTCTTGCTAGCTACAGAGCGCTGATTGGTGCATTTTTACAAACCTCTTGTAAGACAGAAAAGGCCAAGTCCCCACTCCACCCAGGAAGTCCAACTGGCTTCCCCTCTCACTGGGACTACAGATGCACGCCACCACACCCAGCTAATTTTTTATTTTTTTGTATAGATGGGGGTCTCCAATTCCCGACTTCAAGCGATCTCTACCCCTCGGCCTCCCAAAATGCTGGGATTACAGGCATAAGCCACTGAGCCAGGCCAGGACACATCTTTGAGCCTCTATTTCCGCATCTTTGTTAGGATCAAAGTCGTTAACATCTGATGTACATGGAAGCACTTAGTCTAAACAAAAAAAAAAAAACAAAAAAACTTTCTAACCGGGTGCAGTGGCTCACGCCTGTAATCCCAGCACTTTGGGAGGCCAGGGCAGGCGGATCACGAGGTGTGGAGATCGAGACCAGCCTGACCAACAGGGTGAAACGCCATCTCTACTAAAAATACCAAAATTAGCCAGGTATGGTGGCGCGCGCCTGTAGTCCAAGCTGCTGAGGAGGCTAAGACAGCTTGGCGACAGAGCGAGAGTCCGTCTCAAAAAAGAAAAAACAAAAAACTTTGTCCAACCTGGGCAATATAGTGAAACCCCGTCCCTACAAAAAAATTAATAAAGCTGGGCGTGTTCGCGCGCACCTGTAGTCCTAGATACTTGAGAGGCTGAAGCTGGAGAACTGCTTGAACCCGGGAGACAGAAGTTGCAGTGAGCCGAAATCGCGCCACTGCAGTCCAGCCTGGGCGACAGAGCCAGACTCTGTCTATTTAACCCTGAAAGTTCCCGCCCTTGCCGGAACTCGGCCACCGGCTCGGACGCCTGTATTTCCCTGGGCTGCAGGAAACCGTCAAGACCCACTGCGTCGGGCTGGGCTCCGACGATAAACCAGCGAGATGCACCTCACCCCATCAGGCGCCTAGAGAGGCCCCGGAAATGCAGGGAAGGGTGCCGCAGGGCGTCCGTGACGCACTTCCGGCACGGGATGTTTTCGGTGGCTGGACTGAGGGAGCTGTAGGCGCAAAGCTGAGGAAAGGAAGAAGTGTGGGAGAGGGGCCTCGTGTGGTGGGGCCCGGTGTTTGGGACCGGAGGGTTTGAGGGCTGATGAGTTCCTTGGGTTTGCTCTTTCTTCACCTGAAAGGAAGACTCCAGGAAGGGCAGCACATGCCGGAGAAAGATGAATTCCAGCTTGACCGCCCAGAGTCGCGGCAGTGACGCCGAGTTGGGACCCTGGGTGATGGCTGCGAGGTCCAAAGACGCGGCGCCGTCCCAACGCGACGGACTTTTGCCCGTGAAAGTGGAGGAAGACTCACCCGGAAGTTGGGAGCCCGGCTATCCAGGGGCTTGGCCAGACCCCGAAACTTCTCGACTGCACTTTAGGCAGCTGCGTTATCAGGAGATGGCTGGACCGGAAGAGGCGCTGAGCCGGCTCCGAGAACTCTGTCGTCGGTGGCTGAGGCCTGAGCTGCTCTCCAAGGAGCAGATCCTGGAGCTGCTGGTGCTGGAGCAGTTCCTCACCATCCTGCCCGAGGAGCTGCAAGCCTGGGTGCGAGAGCACTGCCCGGAGAGCGGGGAGGAGGCAGTGGCCGTGGTGCGGGCTCTGCAGCGAGCGCTCGATGGAACCTCACCTCAGGTGAGAAGCGAAAGACCCATTCTGGAGGTGGGAGTGTGGAAAATAGGCGTGTATGGGGTGCTCTGCGTTTCGGAAGTTATTTCGTTATTACATTTCGTGTGAACGTTGGGGTGTGTATGGACTTCCTTTCCGCAGGCCACGGTGACAGATCCATCCAGGAGATGACTTTATAGACCTCAGCATAAAGCCAACACGGATTACTGGTTTTCTTTTTTCTTCTTCTTTTTTTTTTTTTCTTTTCTGTTGTTGTTGTTTGAGGTGGAGTTTCAGTCTTGTCGCCCAGGTTGGAGTGCAATGGCGCGATCTCGGCTCACTGCAACCTCTGACTCCCGGGTTCAAGCGATTCTCCTGCCTCAGCCTCCCGAGTAGCTGGAATTACAGGCGCCCGCTACCACGCCCGGCTAATTTTTGTATTTTTAGTAGAGATGGGGTTTCACCGTGTTGGCCAGGCTGGTCTCAATCTCCTGACCTCAGGTGATCCGCCCGCCGTGGCCTCCCAAAGTGCTGGGATTACAGGTATGAGCCACCGCGCCCGGTCGTGTGTACTTTTAATCTATATCATATTTCCATTCCCATACATCACAGTGATACAAGTTAAAGAAATATTTTGCTCTTACCTACCCCCAAAATTAGTGTAAATAGTCCACAGAAAGGCTTTTTAGGATTATAAGAGAATGTCAGCCTCTATCTCTGATCTCTCCAAACTCCCTGGTCAGTACAAGACTCAAGAAGAGTGATAGTGCTGTACAGGGACAGCAGGTACTGAATTGGGCTCTTGTGTTGTTCCCAGGGGATGGCGACTTTCGAGGACATGGCTGTGTCTCTAACCTGGGAGGAGTGGGAGCGCCTGGACCCAGCACGGAGGGACTTCTGCAGAGAGAGTGCACAGAAGGATTCCGGGGGCACAGTTCCGCCTAGTGAGTGCTGTTGCTCTGCTGGTTTATTGTGGTGTGTGATTTGTGAAGGGGTGGTCCATTACCATCCCTGAGCCATTATGCCATTCCCAGACTTGGGCTGAGGGCCTTCAGGTGTCTTCTGTAACCCAGGCAGGAGCCTATGTACTGCTAGGTGCTAGATTCAGCTTTTTGTTTTGGTTCATTTTTAATGTTTTATACATACAGAAAACTATTAAAAAAAAAAAAATAGATAATGACCATCCCCTGTGTCCACCACCCAAGTTTATCCGATCTTAATACTTGGCCATATTGCCAGAGAAATATGTTACAGCTGGAGGTGAGGCTCCCACATAGCCTCCTGGAAATCCTTCCCCTCTATCCTTCTCTAGAGGTAGCCAGTAAGCTGACTGTTGTGTTTATGACTTCCATGCATGTCTTATATTGTCTCTACATAGACACGTAGCTCCACGCTGTATATCATTACTGTATGGCTTTTTTTTAACTCAGTATTACATTTTTGAGATTTACTCATGTTGATGCATGGAGCTCTACCTGTTTCACTGTCCAGATACTCCAGAATTCTATCCGTTTCTGTTAATGGACATCTAGGTGTCTTAAGTTTTAACCATTACAGCGTTGCACCGAACATTCTTGTATATTCTTGCATATTTTTGTGTATTTGTTCCTATGTTGGAGTTTCTGAAGAGGATATGCCTAGAGACAGGCAGTAGTCCCCTCTTCCTGGTTTTGCTTTCTGTGGTTTCACTTACCCACAGTACGCAGTACAACCAGATATTTTAAGACAGAGACCACATTCACATAACTATTATTACAGTATAGCATTTGTTTTTCATTTTTTGTCTTTGGTTTTGGGGGTTTTCTTGAGATGGAGTTTTCCTCTTGTTGCCCAGGGGGAGTGAGTGCAGTGGTGTGGTCTCAGCTCATTGCAACCTCTGCCTCCCAAGCCAAGCAGTTATCCTGCCTCTGTCCCCTGAGTAGCTGGAATTACAGACATGCCCCACCATGCTCAGCTAATTTTGTATTTTTAGTAGAGATGGGGTTTCACCATGTTGGCCAGACTGGTCTTGAACTCCTGACCTCAGGTGATTCTCCTGCCTCAGCTTCCCAAAGTGCTGGGATTACAGGTGTGAGCCACCAAACCTAGTTAAGTATATTGTTATAATTGATAGTTACTGTTAATCTCTTAATGTACCTAATTTATGAATTAAACGATTAAAGGGATGTATGTATAAGAAAAAACATTATAGAGAGAGAGAGAGAGAGAGAGAGAGAGGGGCTTTGGTACTGCACACAGTTTCAGGCATCACTGGGGGTCTTGGAATGTGTCCCCACAGAGAAGAAGAGACAACTGTATGTTCATCTTACTCTCCAAAGAGCTCATAACTAATGTATACGCCACCAGCAATATTGAGAATTTTTCTTTCTCCACATTCTCGTCAACGTTTGCTGTTGGCCGGGCACGGTGACTCTCACCTGTAATCCTAGCACTTTGGGAGGCCCAGATGGAAGGATTGTTTGAGGCCAGGAGCTCAAGACCAACCTGGGCAACACAGCAAGACCCCATCTTTTTTAAAAAAATTTTTTTAATTAAAAAAATAGTAATACATTTTGGCCAGGTGATAGCTCACGTCTGTAATCTCAGTACTTTGGGAGGCCAAGGTGGGCGGATCACAAGGTCAGGAGTTCAAAACCCACTTGGCCAACATAGTAAAACACCGTCTCTACTAGAAATGCAAAAAATTATTCGGGCCTGTGATGCCTGATGTGCAGGGGCCCTGGCACCCTGCTTACCCACCCATCCCTTCCGCTGCCCCTCACCCACTCTGGCCACACTGCCTTGCTGCTTCAAAATATGCCAAGCCCCTCTGCCTCCTGGTCTTTGTGCTATGTGACCGCTCTGCCTGAAATATTCTACTCTAGCTCTGTAGGAAGCAAAGCTTCAGAGCTTTGCTCAAATTGCTCCCTTGTGCCGGGTGTGGTGACTCATACCTGTAATCCCACCACTTTGGGAGGCCGAGGTGGATCACGCCTGTAACCCTAGCACTTTGGGAGGCCGAGGCAGGCAAATCACTTGAGGTCAGGAGTTCAAGACCAGCCTGGCCAACATGGTAAAACCCCGTCTTTACTAAAAATACAAAAATTAGCCACGCCAGTTAATGGGCACCTATAATTCCAGCTACTCAGAAAGCTGAGGCAGGAGAATCACTTGAACCTGGGAGGTGGAGGTTGCAGTGAGTCGAGATCATGCCACTACACTCCAACCTGGGTGACAGAGTGAGACTCTGTCTCAAAAAAATAAAAAATAGGCTGGGCGCAGTGGCTTATGCCAGTAATCCCAACACTTTGGGAGGCCAAGGCCAGGTGGATCACCTGAGGTCAGGAGTTTGAGACCAGCCTGACCAAGATGGTAAAACCCCATCTCTACTAAAAATACAAAAGTTAGCCGGGTGTGGTGGCACCCAGCTACTCTCGAGGCTGTGGCAGGGGAATTGCTTGAACCTGGGAGGTGGAGGTTGCAGTGAGCGAAGATCATGCCACTGCATTCCAGCCTTGGCAATGAGCGAAACTCCATCTCAAAAAAAATAAAATAGCTGGGTGCAGTGGCTCACTCCTGTAATCGCAACACCTTGCAAGGCCAAGGTGGGTGGATCACAAGGTCAGAGGAGTTTGAGACCATCCTGACCAAGATGGTGAAACCCTGTCTCCACTAAAACTACAAAAAAATTAGCCAGGCATGGTGGCGGGTGCTGGTAATCCCAGCTACTCGGGAGGCCGACGCAGGAGAATCACTTGAACCTGGGAGGCAGAGGTTGCAGTAAGCAGAGATCACACCACTGCACTCCAGCCTGGGCAACAGAGTGAGACTCCATCTCAAAAATACAATAAGATACGGTAAGATAAAATAAAATATAAACTGGGTGCTGTGGCTCACCCTGTAATCCGAGAACTTTGGGAGGCCAAGGCAGGTGAATCACAAGGTCAGGAGTTCAAGACCAGCCTGGCCAAGATGGTGAAACCCCGTCTCTACTAAAACTAGCAGAATTGGCACCTGTAATCCCCGCTACTTGGGAGGCTGAGGCAGGAGAATCACTTGAACCCTGGTGGCAGAGGTTGCAGTGAGCCGAGATCGCGCCACTGTACTCCAGCCTGGGCAACAGAGTGAGACTGCGTCTCAAAATAAATAAATAGGGAGGCCGAGGCAAGCAGATCATGAGGTCAAGAGATAGAGACCATCCTGGCCAACATGGTGAAACCCTATCTCTACTAAAAATATAAAAATTAGCTGGATGTGCTGGTGTGCGCCTGTAACCCCAGCTACTCTGGAGGCTGAGGCAGGAGAATCACTCGAACTCAGGAGGCAGAGGTTGCAGTGAACTGAGATCAGGCCACTGCACTCCAGCCTGGTGACAAAGCAAGACTCCGTCTCAAAAAATAAATTAATTAAAATAAAAAGTAAAAGGGATTTGAGGATTTAACATTCTGCCAGCACTTGCTTATTTCAGTGTTGCACAGAAATGCAATGGCAGGAATTTGTATTTTCATGTTTCAGGTTTGGAAAGCAGAGCTGAGAACAAAGAGTTGATTCCAATGCAAGAAATTTTAGAAGCAGAGCCACAGGGGCGACTACAAGAAGCGTTCCAGGGGAAGCGCCCCCTGTTGTCTAAGTGTGGCAGTACCCATGAGGACAGCATGGAAAAGCAGTCCAGAAACCCCTTCCCCCTGAAACTTGAAAATTCTCCTGAAGCACAAGGACGCAACAGCATCTCAGATGTCAACAAGAACGGTTCCATAGAAGGGGAAGACTCTAAAAATAATGACCTGCAGAACAGTGCCAGACGCTCCAACCTTGTTCTGGGTCAGCACATCCCAAAAGCAGAGAGGCCCACAGACGGTGAGGAACACGGGAACAAGTGCAAGCAGAGTTTCCACATGGTGACGTGGCACGTGCTGAAACCTCACAAGTCTGACAGTGGAGACAGTTTCCATCATTCCAACCTTTTGGAGACCCAGAGGCAGCTCCGTGAAGAAAGACCTTATAAATGTGGTAACTGTGGGAAGAGTTTCAAACAACGCTCTGACCTCTTTAGACACCAGAGAATCCACACAGGTGAGAAACCCTATGGCTGCCAAGAATGTGGGAAAAGCTTCAGCCAGAGCGCTGCCCTGACCAAGCACCAGAGGACACACACAGGTGAGAAGCCATACACCTGTCTGAAATGTGGGGAGCGCTTCAGGCAGAATTCACACCTAAATCGTCATCAAAGTACCCACAGTAGAGACAAACATTTTAAATGTGAGGAATGCGGGGAAACCTGTCATATTTCCCACCTTTTTAGACATCAGAGACTACATAAAGGGGAGAGACCCTATAAGTGTGAAGAATGCGAGAAAAGCTTCAAACAGCGCTCTGACCTCTTTAAACACCAGAGAATCCACACTGGGGAGAAGCCCTATGGATGTTCTGTCTGTGGGAAACGCTTCAATCAGAGTGCAACCCTCATTAAACACCAGAGAATTCACACTGGAGAAAAGCCTTACAAATGTCTCGAATGTGGGGAAAGATTTAGACAAAGTACACACCTTATCCGACACCAAAGAATTCATCAAAATAAAGTGCTGTCGGCTGGGCGCGGTGGCTCACGCCTGTAATTCCAGTACTTTGGGAGGCCAAAGCAGGCAGATCATTTGAGATCAGGAGTTTGAAACCAGCCTGGCCAACATGGTAAAACCTCGTCTCTACTAAAAATACAAAAATGAGCTGGGTGTGGTGGTGTGTACCTGTAATCCCAGCTATTCAGGAGGCTGAGGCAGAGAATCACTTGAACCCAGGAGGCGGAGGTTGCAGTGAGCCAAGATCACGCCACTGCACTCCAGCCTGGGCAACAGAACAAGACTCTATCTCAAAAAAGAAAGAAATAAAGTGCTATCATTTTGATATGTTTCTGTGTGACTTGGCCTGTTTCTTTTCCTGTCCAGAATGACATTCCTTGCCATTTGGAGCATATCAGTCAATTATGGATCTTCCTTGAGGATCTCCTACAAGATAGGTTCAATCTGTCCTGAGCCCTATTACAGACTGATAGTTTCAGTGAGTGAGGAATGAGGAAGTAAGGGGCCTTCTGAAATGTGCTGGTGCCAGGTAAGAGACTTCTGATGATAAGAGTGAGGCCAACATGTAACAGGGTTCTGTCCTTGCCATCTGTGCTCTACCTTTATTTATGTGTTTATTTTTGAGATTGGGTCTCGTCGTATTCCCCCGGCTGGAGCTCAGTGATGCGATCATGGCTCACTGTGGCCTCAACCTGGGCTCAAGTGATCGTCTATCTTAACCTCCTGAGTAGCTGGGACCACAGGCACACTACCACACCCGGCTATTTTTTTTTTTTTTTTTTTTTAAAGAAATAGGGTCTTGCTATGTTGCCCAGGCTGGTCTCAACCTCCTAGGCTCAAGGAATCCTCCTGCCTCAGCCTCCCAAAGTGTTGGAATTACAGACATGAGCCACCACACCCAGCCTACCTTTATTTACTTTTGGTTTTTTTTTTTTTTTTTTGAAATGGAGTCTTGCTCTGTCACCCAGGCTGGAGTGCAGTGGCATGATCTCAGCTCACTGCAACTTCCACCTCCTGGGTTCAAGCAATTCACCTGCCTCAGCCTTCCAAGTACCTGGGACTGCAAGCGCACTGTGCCACGCCTGGCTAATTTTTTGTATTTTAGTAGAGATGGGATTTCACCGTGTTGCCTAGGCTGCTAGTGAACTCCTGAGCTCAGGCAATCTGCCCACCTCAGCCTTCCAAAGTGCTGGGATTACACGCATGAGCCACCACGCCCAGCCTCTTTATTCGCTTTTGAACCAAATCTTGCTCACTACAGTTACCTCAAGAATGTATTTTAGTCTTTTAAAATTTGCCTTTGTCCTTAGATGGTAGAGAGGGTTTCAACTACTTCATAATCCCCAGAAGACCTGGTAAAGCTCAGTGCTCACAAGAAACACTCTATTTTTCACTTTCCAGAAAACCTAATTTTACATAGTCCCTCTTTCCCATTCTAGGGGCCTAGGAGTTCAGTTTTTTGACTTACTGATTTCTTTTTTTTGAGATGGATTCTTGCTCTGTCACCCAGGCTGGAGTGCAGTGGCATGATATTGGCTCACTGCAGCCTCTACCTCCCGGGTTCAAGCGATTCTCCTGCCTCAGCCTCCTGAGTAGCTGGCATTACAGGCACCTGCCACTGCACCCAGTTAATTTTTGTATTTTTAGTAGAGACGGGATTTCACTGTGTTGGCCAGGCTGGTCTCAAACTCCTGACCTCAGGGGATCTGCCTGCCTTGGCTCCCAAAGTGGATTTCTTTTTTTTTTTTTTTTTTTAAGACAGTCTACCTCTGTGGCCCAGGCTGGAGTACAGTGGCACGATCTTTGCTCACTGCAGCCTCCACCTGCTGGGTTCAAGCAATTCTCCTTGAACTGCTGGGCTCACATTCTCCTTGAACTGGAAGTTCAATTTTTTTTTTTTTTTTTTTTTTTTGAGACAGAGTCTCGCACTGTCGCCCAGGCTGGAGTGCAGTGGCCGGATCTCAGCTCACTGCAAGCTCCGCCTCCCGGGTTCACACCATTCTCCTGCCTCAGCCTCCCGAGTAGCTGGGACTACAGGCACTCGCCACCATGCCCAGTTAACTTTTTGTAGTGTAGTAGAGACAGGGTTTCACTATGTTGGCCAGGATGGTATCTATCTCCTGACTTCGTGATCTGCCCGCCTTGGCTTCCAAGTTTCTAATCATGCCTTGGACTTTCCAGTGACCAGCCCCCAAGTTGAACCCATCGGGAATCCAAGAGTTGCCTTATTAGAACAAAGACATGCACCACTAAGAAAATTCCAGTGGGTTTAGCAGCTCCGTGTCAGGAACAAGTGTCAAAAGACCAAGTATTAAAAGATGCTCTTGGCACCCTTATCCCTCAGGAATTCTCCAAGGTTTGGGGAGCTCTCTGCTAGTCACTGAGGATGAAGACCAAATATATATTTATCATGATATCACAAGGCTTATTATACAAATTTTGAGTATTTCGTGCAGAAATGAATAAAATAGAACATAAAAATCATCTCCAGTAGAGCAAGTGTGCTTGTCCTTTCCAGGTCCTATGAAAATGAAGGGAAGGGGGTGTCTGCTCAGCTCCACTAGGGGCACCCACCATCACGGTCAGGAGACCACCCTCTCCCAATGCAGGTGAGCTGGGGCACATGTAATAGAGGCCTCTGCTTCAAGGAATATCATCAGGAAGCAGCAGTCAGGGCACTACCGGCCTCTGAAAAACACAGGGCAGAACCATGGGTCTAGTCTGGGTGTAGGTAATGGTGGCTTCTCTTGCTCTAGGAACTGTCTGGAAACTGAAGGGTGTCTGGCCTGGACAGCATCTACACCTCCCTCTAAGTCTGTAGCCATCTCAGGATGGGTGCGCTTTGGATATGACTACTCAATGAATTACAGTTCTCTCCTGTTTGTATCTTCTTTAAACATGAGGATTAATCTGAGTGACAAGTGCCTGAATGCCTGGTCATTGGAGAAAATTGTAAATACAAACTATCTTTTTTTAAAAAAATTAATTAAAAAAAAAAAACAAGGTCTCACTGTCGCCCAGTCTGGAGTGCAGTGGCATGATCTTGGCTCACTTGCAGCCTCAACTTCCTGGGTTTAAGTGATCCTTCCACCTCAGCCTCCCAAGCAGCTGAGACTACAGGCACACAACCACCATACCCAGCTAATTTTTGTACTTTAAAAGTATAAGAGAGACTGGGCGCAGTGGCTCACGCCTATAAGTCCAACACTGGGAGGCTGAGGCTGGCAGATCACGAGGTCAGGCGTTCAAGACCAGCCTGGCCAACATGGCGAAACCCCATCTCTACTGAAAATACAAAAATTAGCTGGGCATGGTGACGGGTGCCTGTTGTCCCAGCTACTCAGGAGGCTGAAGCAGGAGAATCGCTTGAACCCAGGAGGCAGAGGTTGCAGTGAGCCGAGATTGCACCACTGCACTCCAGCCTGGGCGACAGAACGAGACTCCATCTCAAAAAAAAAAAAAAAAAAAAGATGAAGTTTTGCCATGTTGGCCAGGCTGGTCTCAAAACTCCTGGGTTGAAGTGATCCATCCACCTCAGCGCCTCAGCATCCCAAAGTGTTGGGGAATCAGAGGTGTGACCCACTGCACCTGGCCTGAGAGCAATTTTTTTTTTTTTTTTTTTTTGACACAGGGTCTCACTCTGTCGCCCAGGCTGGAATGCAGTGGTGCGATCTTGGCTCACGGCAACCTCCACCGCCCCGGTTCAAGCGCTTCTCCTGTCTCAGCCTCCCAAGTAGCTGGAATTACAGGCACCCACCACTACACCTGGCAAATTAGATCAATGTTTAATACAGACATAGGATGATGTTTAGGATATCAAAATAATTTACGTGGATCTCTTATATTGTTGAGCTTTAGGGAGCAAACACTCAGCTCAACCTATTTAAACTGAATGTCAGAATGTCCTTAGAATAACTGTGAAAACAGAAGGGATATGGCTCCTCAGAGACCATAATTGACACTTTTTGAATACAAGGAGTTTATTTGTTGGGGAGAGGTTGCAATACTGTTAGGGAAGGTGGAAGACAGAGAAGTCACCCAATGAGGCAGCTACCATGGTGAGTGCCTGTGTGCAATTCCTAGGGAACCTCTGGAAACTAAAACACATGCTTCAGAGTTTTCCACATGTGGGGAGATGGAGAATTTGGTGTTTATCAAATGCCCATCAATGATTGGTTGACGGCTGCTCCCAGGATGTCTCTTTTGCCCTCAGGCCACAAGGTGTAGACACAGTCAGATGACGCCCACAGAAGGTGTAAGTAAGGCCAGAGGGACTTTGGCAGGGCCCACAGCACCTATTACAAATACTGACTTATAGCTCTTACCAGAATCTACTAACACATTCATTTTAGATTATGGGCAACTTTTTTTTTTTGAGACGGAGTCTTGGTGTGTCTCCCAGGCTGGAGTGCAGTGATGCAATCTCGGGTCACTGCAACCTCTGCCTCCCAGGTTCAAGTGATTCTCCTGCCTCAGCCTCCCAAGTAGCTGGGATTATAGGTGCCCGCCACTGTGCCTGGCTAATTTTTGTATTTTTAGTAGAGACGGGGTTTCACCATCTTGGCTAGGCTCGTCTTGAACTCCTGACCTCATGATCCACCCACCTTGGCCTCCCAAAGTGCTGGACAGGTGTGAGCCACCACGCCCGGGCTGATTATGGGCAACTTTTAGCAGTTCTTCATACCTCACTAGTTACTAGTGAGTAGCCCTTAGTTTTTTTTTTTTTTTTTTTAAGTCTATACATTAGCAGGTCATAGTTGTATGTAATACAGGAAAGGCATTCTTCTTCAACCTTTTTTTTTTTTTGAGATGGAGTCTCACTCTGTTGTCCAGGCTGGAGTGCAGCAGTGTGTTCTCAGCTCACTGCAACCTCTGCCTCCCAGGTCCAAGCAACTCTCCTGCCTTAGCCTCCCAAGTAGCTGGAACTACAGGTACATGCCACCATGGCCAGCTAATTTTTGTATTTTCAGTAGAGACAGGGTTTCACCATGTTGGCCAGGCTGGTCTTGAACTCTTGACCTCAAGTGATTCTCCATTCTCAGCCTCCCAAAGTGCTGGGATTACAGGCGTGAGCCACCACACCTGGCCCATTCTTCAGTCCTTCAATCATTCACAACCCATTCATTGGTCCCCAGCCTGGCGACCACAGGGCAAAGCTTCTATGGCTCCCTTCTGCCTTAACTAGGCTGGAGGGGATGAGGGCATAGAGGGTGCAAGAGAGTGAACACAACAGCCTAGTAAACTTTTCTCTTTTCTTTTTTTTTGAGACAGCCTTGCTCTGTCACCCAGGCTGGAGTACAGTGACACATCATGGCTCACTGCAGCCTTAAACTCCTGGGCTAAAGCAATCCTCCCACCTCAGCCTTCTCAGTAGCTGGGGCTGGAGGTGTGAGCCACACCTGGCTTGTTTTTTGTAGAGATGGGATCTCACTATGTTGCCCAGGCTAACATTTCCTTTGAAGTGTTTCTTCACTAGGGCAGCAGATTGGCCACAAAAAGAGGGCCCCCACAGAAAAACCCTTTGTTACATTTATTGCTTTTCATGAAAACAATCGTGTGATACACACTTGAAGTAGAAGTTAAGTTGTAGTCCTTCGATGACTGCTTTCCAGTTAATATCACGTGGATATCTGTCCTTTGTGAGTGCCCTGGTGCTTAATAAAGCTTGTGTGCCACTTGAAAGATTTTCCACATATGACACATTGGTAGGGTTGGCTTCCGGTGTGAATGACCTGATGGCGAAAAAGATTCCTCTTAAAACTAAACGTTTTCCCACATTCTCCACATTGAAAGAATTCCTCCTTTGTATGGATTCTTTGATGCTGAATGAGATCCACATTCCGACCAAAGGACTGGCCACAATCACTGCATTTATGGGTGTTCGGTTTACTGTGAATCTGTTGATGACACAGAAGGGTTGAATGCCGGCCAAAGGCTTTTCCACACTCAAGGCATTTATGGCGTTTTTCTCCACTGTGGATCACCTGATGTCGAATAAGGGTTGAATTCTGACTAAAGGTTTTTTCACATTCACTACATTTGTAGGGTTTTTCTTTGGTATGAATCCTCTTATGTTCAACAAGATACGCGAGCTGCCGAAAACACTTTCCACAGTCATGACATCTGTATGGCTTGTTTTGCAGGTGACACTGTTTATGGACCGTAAGAGCTGACCGCTGTCTGAAGGCTTGCCCACATACCTTACATTCAAAGGGATTCTCTAAGAAGTGAATTCTTTGATGTTGATCGAACCATGCCTTACGCCTAATGACTTTTCCACATTCACTGCATTCGTAAGACTTTGCTCTTGTGAGAATTTGCTCGTGCCCCAAAAGAAAAGATCTTTGATTGAGGGGTTTGTCATCCTCCTCATACCTGCCCTGCTTCCACCTGGTTTGCACATTCTCATCTTGAATAAGGTTGAGGTTTTGAAGGAAGCCCCTGCTGTATTCATCGCCACTAGTAGGGAAAGTAAGCCTGCAACTGTCCACAAATTCTTTACACTTATGTAACTTTTCTGAAAGTTTCTCGGCCGATTCCTGCATTACCACTGATATCTTATATGACTCTAAATCTTCAGAAAATTTCTGTTTTGGAGTTAGCTTTTTCATCCTGTGTCTGGCTTCAGAACCTAGCCAAATAACAAGAAAAGATGTAAATGACCTATCCACTGCAGAAGAAAAAAAGGAAGAGAAGCCAACTGTTAGGGCTCTAGGACAATCAAATGAAGCTAAGAAGTGATCTCTTGTTTACATCATCACACTCAAGAGGCCAAAATTCTGAATTTTTCTTTTTTTTTTCTTTGAGACAGAGTCTCGCTCTGTTGCCCAGGCTAGAGTGCAGTGGCATGATCTCAGCTCACTGCAACCTCCGCTTCCCAGGTTCAAGTGACTCCCCTGCCTCAACCTCCCGAGTAGCTGGGATTACAGATGCCAGCCCACCATACTCAGCTAATTTTTGTATTAGTAGAGATGGGGTTTCACCATGTTGGTCAGGCTAGTCTCGAACTCCTGACCTCAGGTGATCCACCTGCCTCGGCCTCCCAAAGTGCTGGGATTACAGGCATGAGCCACTGCACCCAGCCCAAAATTCTGAATTTCAATGGACTCTTCACTGTCATAACAAAAAGAGCTCTCAGCACCAACAAACTCACTAAAAATGCACAGGAGTGTGTATGCCAGAGAATGTGAGAGCAGAGCCCATCACCATTATCAGAAAAACAACTTACTCTAGTAAGTTGTTTGGCACCACTGAGTGGTGCCAAATAAATGTCAAAGAGGTAGCGTGTTATTTTTCAAGATACATGCTTTTTGTTTGAGACATGCCTAGGCCAGAGTGCAGTGGCATGATCTCAACTCATTGAAACCTCCACTTCCTGGGTTCAAGAGATTCTCGTGCCTCAGCCTCCCGAGTAGCTGGGATTACAGGCACGCACCACCACGCCCGGCTAGTTTTGTTATTTTTAGTAGAGATGGGGTTTCGCCATGTTGGCCAGGTGGGTCTCAAACCCCTGGCCTCAGGCGATCTGCCCATCTCGGCCTCCAAAAGTGCTGGGATTACAGGTGTAAGCCACTGTACCCGGCCTAGATACAAGTTTTTAATAACTCTAGGTGAAACATCTGCTTAAAAATGGACAAAGTATAGGATAGAACAGAAAAGGAACCAGAGGGAAATAGGGACAAAAGCCAACTGACTAGAGCAATGGGTCTCAACTAGGGGTGAGCAGGGTTCAGACAATGTCTGGAGACATTTCTGGTTGTCACACCTGGGGAGGTTCAAATGGCATCTAGTGGGTGCAGGCCAGGGCTGCTACTTAACATCCCAAAATGCACAGGACATGCCCCCATACTGCGCCCAGAGAATTCATCAGCCCAAAATGTCAGTAGTGCCATGGAGAAACCTTGGATGTGAAAAACAGGAGGAGCTGCATCAGGACACAGTAAGTAGAAAAATGCAGATATGTCAGGAAATACGGGAGTAATATGGAAACAAAAGAAAGCAAGGGAACAAGAAGCAGCACAGAGAGAGGACAAGAAATGAGGGTGGAATCAAGGGGCATCTAGGGTGCCCTGAGAGCTGTCACTTAGAAAACACTAGAGCAGGTGTGTCCGAGCAGCGCTTTTTCCTGCAGGAGAGAGAGGATGAATGTTCTAGACTTGAAGTCAAACCCCAGTGTCCACGTCCCAACTGTGAGAGTTCTTTTTTGAGGGTCTTGCTCTGTCACCCAGGCTGGAGTACAGTCACGTAATCTCAGCTCACTGCAACCTCTGCCTCCCAGCCTCAAGCGGTCCTTGCACCTCAGCTTCCTGAGTAGCTGGGACTACAGGCATGCGCCACCACACCCGGCTTCAATTTGTATTTTTTGTAGAGATGGGTTTTCACCATGTCGCCCGGGCTGATCCTGAATGCCTGGGCCCAAGTGATCCTCCTGCCTCTCCTGCCCAAAGTGCTGGGATTACTAGTGTGAGCCCCCATACCAGGCCTGTGTGAGTTTTTTTTTTTTTTTTTTTTTGAGACAGAGTCTTGCTCTGTCACTCAGGCTGGAGTTCAGTGGCACGATCTTGGCTCACTGCAGCCTCTGCCTCCCAGGTTCTGGCAATTCTCCTGCCTCAGCCTCCCAGGTAGCTGGGATTACAGGCACACACCATTACGCCTGGCTAATTTTTGTATTTTCAGTAGAGACAGGGTTTCACCATGTTGGCCAGGCTGGTCAACTCTGGACCTCAGGTGATCCACCCGACTTGGCCTCCCAAAGTGCTAGAATTACAGGCGTGAGCCACCACGCCCGGCCAAGATTTCTTAATCTTAGTCTCTTCATCTGGGAAGTAGGGATGCCGATCTTCCTCCCACCTCACAGGGCAGCAGTGATGAAGAAGTGATAATATATGCCCAGCACCTGGCTCTGCGTCTGGCACAGAGAAGGGGCTTCACTAACGTGCCTTCCCTTCCTCTTCCTGATTCCACTCGCCTGGGTCTCTTCCTCACCCACCTGGGCAAGCACTACCGGAAGCCTTCCTACTCCCAGCTCTCGGTAGATCCAGGATCCACTGCTCGTCCCAGTTCTCCAGCTGACAGATCACCTCAGGTTTGGGAAACTGAAATCCTACTCATGGGGAAGTAAATGGGATGTGGCCGTTAGTGAGTTACAGAGACATGGCCCGGGGGCTCAGTGGCAGGCAGAGATAAGGACAATAATCAGAAGGGCTGGTGAGAATAGAGATTGGCACAATCTTTGTAAATATCTGGCAGTCTTTATTGAAAGCCTGAACAATGTTCATACCTTTGGCTGTGGTCATTTCACTCTTAGAAATATAACCTAAAGTACAACTGCAACCAAGATGAATGTGCCAGAGACGTTCAGCACAGTGGGATTGCAGCGTCAAACTGGAAATAAACTGAATATCGAAAGGGAACAATTAAATCAAGTGTAGCACATTAATGCGGTGAAGGCATAAGTATTAGGCAGATATTAAAAATCCTTGTATTCAATTGTTTATTTTTTTTATTTTTGAGACGGAGTCTTGCTCTGTAACCCAGGCTGGAGCGACAATCTCGGCTCACTGCAACCTCTGTCTCCCAGGATCAAGTAATTATACTGCTTCAGCCTCCCAAGTAGCTGGAACTACAGGCACCCGCCACCATGCCCAGCTAATTTTTGTATTTTTAGTAGAGACAGGTTTCACCATGTTGACCAGGCTGGTCTCGAACTCCTGACCTCAGGTGCTCCACCCACCTCGGCCTCCCAAAGTGCTGGGATTACAGGTTTGAGCCACTGTACTTAGCCAACTATGTATTTATTTATTTATAAATTTATTTATTTATTTTGAGACGGAGTCTGTGCTGTTGCCCCCACCCGGCTAAGTCTTTTATTTTTATTTATTTATTTTTTTAATTTTAATTTTTATTTTTATTTTTTTTGAGACAGAGTTTCACTCTCGTCACCCAGGCTGGAGCGCACTTGTGCCATCTCTGTTCACTGCTACCTCTGCCTCCCAGGTTCAAGTGATTCTCCTGTCTCAGCCTCCCAAGTAGCTGGAATTACAGGCACGTGGCCACCACGCCCAGCTAATTTTTGCATTTTTAGTAGGTATGAGATTTCACCATTTTGGCCAAGCTGGTCTCGAACTCCTGAACTCAAGTGATCTGCCTGCCTCGGCCTCCCAAAGAGCTGGGATTACAAGCATGAGCCACCACGCCCAGCCCAACTATTTATTAAAATAGAAAAATGCTGCCTATGTATTTTAAAGCAGAATACAAAACTCACATATAGCATGATCCAAATTTTTTTTTTTCTGAGACGGAGCTTCGCTATTGTTGCCCAGGCTGGAGTGCAGTGGCACAATCTCAGCTCACCACAACCTCTGCCTCCCGGGTTCAAGCAATTCTCCTGCCTCAGCCTCCGGAATAGCTGGGATTACAGGCATGTGCCACCACGGATGGCTAATTTTGTATTTTTAGTAGAGACAGGGTTTCTCCATGTTGCTCAGGCTGGTCTTGAACTCCCAACCTCAGGTGATCTGCACGCCTCAGCCTCCCTCCCAAAGTGCTGGGATTACAGGCGTGAGCCACCATGCCTGGCCCCAAATTTTGTTTTAAAAACTATGTAGTGTGTGTGTTATGTATGCGTGTGTAAGTAATTAATACAGTTTGAGCATCCCTAATCCAAAATGCTCCCAGATCTGAAACTTTTTAAGCACTAACCTGACAGAAGTGGAGACTTCCACACCTGACCTCATGTGACCAGTGGCAGTCAAAACGCAGGTGCACAACACACAGTTAATTCAGCCTTCTCCAGGGAAAGATAAAAGGACTTTCAAGATATGCGTCTGAGGTGTATATGAAACATAAGTGAATTTCCTGTTTAGACTTGGGTCAGGTCCTCAAATTATCTTACTACATATATGTGAGTACTCCAAAATCCAAAAAAAAATCCGAAATCCAAAACACTTTTGGTCTCCAGCATTTTGGATAAGGGATCCTTGCCCTGTAATAGACACAAGACGGATTGGAAAAAAGGAAACCGAAATGTTAATAACAAGAGTTATTTCTGGAAAGTAGGCCCGCAGGTGATTTTTATTATCTACTGTATGTACTGACGTATTTTCCAAAATTTCTGTGATCAAAATTATTTTTAGAACTAGTAAAATCCATAAAAAGAGGGCAGGGATATAGTAAAAAAGCACTCTCAGCCAGGCGCGGTGGCTCACGCCTGTAATCCCAGCACTTTGGGAGGCTGAGGTGGGCGGATCACCTGAGGTCGGGAGTTCGAGACCAGCCTGACCAACATGGAGAAACCCCATCTCTACTAAAAATACAAAATTAGCCAGGCGTGGTGGGGCATGCCTGTAATCCCAGCTACTCAAGAGGCTGAGGCAGGACAATCACTTGAACCCGGGAGGCGGAGGTGCGGTGAGCAGAGATCGCACCATTGTACTCCCACCTGGGCAACAATAGTGAAACTCTGTCTCAAAAAAAAAAAAAAAAGGCCGGGCACGGTGGCTCACGCCTGTAATCCCAGCACTTTGGGAGGCCGAGGCAGGTGGATCACCTTAGGTTGGGAGTTCAAGACCTGCCTGACCAACATGGGGAAACCCTGTCTCTACTAAAAATACAAAATTAGCCATCCGTGGTGGCACATGCCTGTAATCTCAGCTACTAGGGAGTCTGAGGCAGGAGAATCGCTTGAACCTGGGAGGTGGAGGATGCGGTGAGCCGAGATCGTGCCATTGCACTCCAGCCTGGGCAACAATAGCGAAACTCTGTCAAAAAAAAAAAAAAAAAAAAGACGCACTCTCAAATGTTACTATTGGGTATGCAAAACAGTACAAATTTTGTTGAAGAATCATTCAGTAATCAATAAAGATTAAAGTGCCATCTCATTTAACTTCAAAATTCTGATTTTGGGAAAGTATCTTGGGAAATGATCAAAAATTCATATAAAGATTTACACTTAGAAACATCTATTCAAACATTATAAATACACAAGCAAACCAACGAACAAAAACAAAGCCAAGCTGAATGTTCCCACATGGAAAAACCATGAAATAGTACCATGGATCACACAATGGAATTATATTATGCTTGTTTACTGATTCTGTGGGGAAACACTGATACAATAATGTTAAGTTTAAAACAGATTACAGGATTACACATAGACTATGTTCAGCTACTTTTGTAAAGGCATAGGAAAAAAAGATTGGAAGGAAATCTTCCAAAATATTAACAGTGTTACTCATGAACACTTTCCTCTTCTCCTCCTTTTCTATGCCTTCCATGTACTTATGTATGCTCTTGTAATGTCTTTTTTTTTTTTTGAGATGGAGTCTTGCTCTGTCGCCCAGGCTGGAGTGCAGTGGCGCGATCTTGGCTCACTGCAAGCTCCGCCTCCCGGGTTCACGCCATTCTCCTGCCTCAGCCTCCCGAGTAGCTGGGACTACAGGTGGCCGCCACCACGCCCGGCTAATTTTTTGTATTTTTAGTAAAGACGGGGTTTCACTGTGTTAGCCAGGATGGTCTCGGTCTCCTGACATCATCCGCCCGCCTTGGCCTCCCAAAATGCTGGGATTACAGGCGTGAGCCACCGCGCCTGGCCTTGTAATGCTTTTAAAGGGAAAATTAAAATTATAAAAATCCAGAGGTAGGTGGACGATCCCACAAGAGGTGGTCAAGACTCTGTGCTAAGAGTGTCAGTGTAGGGGTTAAACATGTGGTCCCGGAAAGAAAACTATTTAGCAAGGCAATTCCCACAGTAGGAGACTACAGTGGAATAGGACAAGGTAGGCTCCTGAAAAGATGGAAGCAGTGAAGGTTCAGAAATGAAGTTGGTTTAAAATCATTTCCTGAGCACCCACTAATGCTACACACCAAGAAGTTACCCATTTCCAGAGAAAAGAAAGAAAAAGACTTTCAAGAGCATAAGAAGTGAGCCTTTGGAATGTCAATCTACCATAATTCTCAACTCCTGCAGGTCTTACAGATGAGGAACATGGGGTGAGAGTGAAGAACGCATGAAGTGTCTCTGTCTGAGCCCTAACACAACACGACTATTCGCTGTCCCCAGTCCCTTATGTGAAACCCTTAGGACCAGATGTGTTTCAGGAGTCAGAATTTTTCCAATTTCAGAAAGGTGACCTGGTGTAAATATTTTACATAACGTATCATCCCCAGTAGGGTTTGGAGTGGTGCCCTCAAATACAGTTATTTTTGTTGTTGTTTTGTTTTGTTTTGGGACAGAGTCTCACTCTGTCGCCCAGGCTGGAATGCACTGGCATGATCTTGGCTCAGTGCAACCTCTCCCTCCTGGGTTCAAGCGATTCTCCTGCCTCAGCCTCCCAAGTAACGGAGACTACAAGCATGCACCACCACAACCGGCTAATTTTCGTATCTTAAGTAGAGATGGGTTTTACCATATTGGCCAGGCTGGTCTCGAACTACTGACCTTAGGTGACCCACCTGCCTCAGAATCCCAAAGTGCTAGGATTACAGGCGTGAGCCACCGCACCCGGCCTACACTGTTATTTCTGAAGTTGGGTATACAGATATGCACACCAAGTTGGAAAAATAAAGACAATAAATGGTTTCCTATGGGATGAAGTCAGGTTTCACTGTGGTGATGTCTGGTCAGGGCTTGTAGCTACACAAGTTATGAAAAAAACTTTCAGTTTTCAGCACTTTTTCTGATTCTGGAATTGCAGATAAGGGACTAAGGGCTTGCAAAGACACTCAGAACACAGACAAAGCCCAATCTTCAAGCCGTGTCCTACCCAGCAAGACCATGTTCCTGTAGTTCTCCAGCATCACATCTCGGTAGAGGTCCTTCTGACCCCAGTCGAGGTGGCCCCACTCCTCTCTGGTGAAGTACATTGCCACATCCTCAAACGAGAGCAGCTCCTGGAAAAGTAGCTGATAAAGGTAACTGCAATTCTTACAATAACTTATGCACAATGATTATTCCACAGGTGAGGAAACCGAGGTTTGGGAGGTAAAGTGTGTAGGCCAAGGGCACCGAATTCATAAGGAATAGACTCAGGGCTCCTTTCAGGCCTGATGGCCCTCAGGCCAGACATGTGCTGGCTTCCATACCACGGGGTCAACATACTTAATCTCTAAAAGGGCCAGATGGTAAATATTTTAGGCTTTTCAGGCCCTCTGGTCTCTGTTCCAGTTCCTCAAATCTGCTGTTGATTTGAGGAACAGCAAATCAACAATTTGAGTAACAGCTTTTGTGTTGGAGCACAAAAGCAGCCATGGACAAGTAAGCGAATGGGTACAGCTGTGTTTCAGGGAAACTTTACCAAGAGGTCGAGGGTAGTCTGCTGACCCCTGCTCTATAAAAATAACCTATTGCTTCTGCCCCAGCTTCCCTACGAAGAGATGATGTCACTGGGGGATTGGTTAATGTTCAAACTATTGACAAAGGGATGAATAGTCTCAACGAACATGAACAAGAAATGTGGAAGCTCACAGGTGCTGGCCACCCTGGGGAATCAGGGCCTGCTAGGTCTGAAGGGGTAAGGTCGGGAGGGGTGCTGGAGCCCAGAAGGCTGCTGGAAGGGGAGCAAGACTGCAGCTGGGGCCGAAGAGGATGCTGCCACACCCATCCCACAGCCTGGGGAGGGAGCCGTGGGAAGAGAAACCCAACCTCAGTTTCCCCCAGACCTCTGGAACCCTGTTCCCTGTCCTCCAACCCTCTTCATCCCATTGCCACAAGCCAAGCAGATGCCGGAGACCAGGGGAGCCCGTTGCTGGAGAATATAAAAGGTATAGACCAAGGCGCAGACGCCTGGGTAGCATATCCAGAGGGGGCAACAGTGGACACGGCACAGTGAGCACAGGGGACATTACATCTGCAAGTGACTGTCCCCCTCCAGTGGGCTGAGCACCGAAGCAGCCATACTCTCACTCCCACACCACTGCAGCCCTCGGGGCAGAGGGGCCCAGCGGCTGTGTACAAACTCCCTGCTCTCACAAGACACTGCGTGGGTTCAGCAGGGACGCGTGCAGGGAAACAGCAAATGTTCGCTGTCCTGTAAGTGGTCAGTAACAAGAAATGCCCACCGTCATCCTGAGAAGCTTCACGTAGCTCCCCTCTGTGGGCACACACCAGAACCTCCCAAATTATACGGACATTCTTTCCTGCCTATCAAACCTGAGTTCCACTGCTATGGTTGCAGGCCCTTTCTCACCATCATCCAGAATGTCACTCTTTTACCAGAGCTGCGCTGCAGTGTCCTCAATCTGACCTACTCAGCCACCTGCATTCCCGCACCTGCACAGGGTTAACAAGCATGGGAATAAAGTGGCTTCATCTCCCAGAGTCATTGTGGCAAGGTAACTCCTCTCTTAACATCCACAATAGGTTCTTGGAAACTGATTTTTACCAAAAGTATGTACAGCAGCAGGTCCTGGAATAACTTTGTTTCACTGTAACACTGATGGGAAAAAAAATGGTTTTGATATACAGTTTCCCTTAAAGTTGCAGTTTCCAAGAACCCATCAACAGCTAGGACCTGTATGTTGATAGGTGGCCCCAAATGTTGCTTAAAAGTTCCATTTCTTTTGTTTGGTTGGTTTTTTTTTTTTTTTTTTTTGAAACAGAGTTTCACTCTTGTTGCCCAGGCTGGAGTGTAATGGCTCGATCTCAGCTCACTGCAATCTCCACCTCCTGGGTTCAAGCAATTCTCCTGCCTCAGCTTCCCAAGTAGATGGGATTATAGGCATGCACCACTACACCCAGCTAATTTTTATATTTTCAGTAGAGACGGGGTTTCACTATATGTTGGCCAGGCAGGTCTCAAACTCTTGACCTCAGGTGATCCACCTGCCTCGGCCTCCCAAAGTGCTGGGATTCCAGGCATGAGCCACCAGGCCCGGCCTCTCCTTTCTTTCAAACTCAGTCTCTTCTAAGCCGGGCACGGGGGCTCACGCCTGGAATCCCAGCACTTTGGGAGGCTGAGGCAGGTGGATGGCTCGTGCCAGGAGTTCAAAAACAACCTGGGCAACATGGTGAAACCCTGTCTATAAAAAATACAAAAATTAACCAGCCGTGGTGGCATGTACCTGTGGTTCCAGCTACTTGGGAGGCTGAGGTGGGAGGATCACCTCAGTCTGGGAAGGTCAAGAGTGCCATGAGCCATTCTCATGCCACTGCATTCCAGCCTGGGCGACAGAATGAGACGCTGTCTCAAAAAAAGATAAAACAACTCAGTCTCTTCTAATCACCCTCCATAAGGCTACAAATTCAATAACTGACCTTCCATTATACCCTTTCATAAGAACAGTTCAGAATTTATTATGAGAAGTTCCTTACACATCTCTCTCTCTAATCAGGCTATAATCTCCTACAGATAAGTGTTGATTTCCCAGCACAGAAGACAGCACCTGGAGTGTACAGCAGTAGATGCACGATAATGCTCATGGACAGAAACAATGGACAACTACTACAGTAACAAGAGCAACAACTTAACACAGTGCTAAACTGTAACCAGATACTGCGCAAAGGACTTCACGGGGCATTTGCCATTGAATCTTCACAATTCGCTGTGATACGCACGCTCGTTGACCCAATTTATACAAAAGAAAACTGGAACCAGATTGTTTATATAACTTGCTGAAGGGAGCCCGTGTGACTCCAGAGGCTAAGCTCTCTACATCGCACTGTCTAACAAGGAAAACTCCCCGCACTGATGAAGAGGGCTCAACCTGAGGAAGGAGCTGCTGGTGGCAGTGACTATGCTGAGGAAGCAGAGGGGGAGGCACAGCTCACCTTCCCCCTGGCTGGTGGGAACATGGCTTCCACGGCCTGGTCTTTGACAAGGGGTGGGATCCTGGGCGTCAGGCTGAGCTGGAGAAGAAAAAAAAGATAGTAAGGCCCGCCCTAATTTGAAGCTCTCTTGCTTGGCAGATCTGGGACCAGGAATACCAATGGGGCCCACGGACAAAGCTTAATACAAAGTCCCTGTGTTTGGTGTTGGAACATGTGATGAAATACACGAGCCACTACAGTAAGTCTATGAATTTCTGAGGCTAGAGCAATTTCCCAAGCTCTATCCAAGGGAACCTGCAGCCCTGCCCTCCCCTTCTCCCTAGAACATGTCATCCTCAGCACCTCATATACAAAGGGACAGCAGATAGACCACATATAAAAATAGCTCTCTGGCCAGGTGCGGTGGCTCACGCCTGTAATCCCAACACTTTGGGAGGCTGAGGCAGGTGGATCACGAGGTCGGGAGATGGAGACCATCCTGGCCAACATAGTGAAACCCCGTCTGTACTAAAATACAAAAAATTAGCTGGGTGTGGTGGTACGCACCTGTAATCCCAGCCACTCGGGAGGCTGAGGCAGGAGAATCGCTTGAACCTGGGAGGCAGAGGTTGCAGTGAGCCAAGATTGTACCACTGTACTCCAGCCTGGCAACAGAGCAAGACTCCGTCTCAAAAAAAAAAAAACAAACAAAAAAACAAAAAAACAAACAAACCACACATAGCACTCCACATCCTGCAGCAACTGGCTCTGGAAACCAAACCATAGCCTCTGAGGCACGGGCCCCACATCAGGACTTGATCAATAACAGCTTTATCCAAAATTTTGCTCCCCACTCCCTGTAATTTAGGACCAACAAGAGAAAGCCAAATGCTCCCCTCCCCTATCACGCAGGATGTTCGAGTCTAGTTATCCTAGGGATTCCAGTTAACCAGCTTTTCTTTCTCTAAATCTACTTATGTATTTCTAACCCTGCTCCTACAGCCAGCTCCCCCTGCTAACAAGCCCCCTGTGAAAGTGTTCTGGGGGGGGTCCCTCAACCCCCACCTCTAGCCTGGTGATTTGCTAGCAGGATTCAGCAACAGTAACAATTACAGACTTGCTATCTTTTTTTTTTTTCTAGACAGAGTTTCATTCCTGTCATGCAGGCTGGAGTGCAATGGCACAATCTCTGCTCACAGCAACCTCCACCTCCCAGGTTCAAGCAATTCTCCTGCCTCAGCCTCCAGAAGTAGCTGGGATTACAGGTGCCCGCCACCATGCCCAGCTAATTTTTTTGTATTTTTAGTTGAGATGGGGTTTCACCATGTTGGTCAGGCTGGTCTTGAACTCCTGCCCTTAGGTGATCCACCCACCTCAGCCTCCCAAAGTGCTAGGATTACAGGCGTGAGCCACTGCGCCTGGCCTACGAACTTGCTTTCTAAGAGTGAATTTTAATGAAATTCACTTTCATTTTAATGGATGCCCCTCAAACACAGTTCACCTTCCCTGAAAGAGTTTAGAACACCCTTTGCCTTTTTCTTTTTTTTTTTTTGAGATAGAGTCTCGCTCTGTCGCCAGGCTGGAGTGCAGTGGCGCGATCTTGGCTCACTGCAAGCTCTGCCTCCCGGGTTCACACCATTCTCCTGCCTCAGCCTCCCGAGTAGCTGGGACTATAGGCACCCACCACCACGCCCGGCTAACATTTTGTATTTTTAGTAGAGATGGGGTTTCACTGTGTTAGCCAGGATGGTCTCAATCTCCTGACCTCATGATCTGCCCGCCTCAGCCTCCCAAAGTGCTGGGATTACAGGCGTGAGCCGCCACGCCCAGCCTTTTTTTTTTTTTTTTTTTTTTTTTTGAGGAGTCTCTATCACCCATGCTGGAGTGCAGTGGTGTAATCATGGCTCACTGTAGCCTCGACCTCCTGGGCTTAAGCAATGCTCCTGCCTCAGTCTCCTAAGTAGCTGGGAGTGCAAGAGTGCACCACCACGTCCAGCTGTTTGTAGTTTTTTTGTAGATGGGATCTTGCTATGTTGCCCAGGGTGGACCTTCTGCCTCTTCAAAAAGGTACACTCTAAAAACTATCCTGATCAGTGGCTCCCAGGCTGGGGCAGAGGCCTCATCCTTTTCATTCTCTATACCAAACTTGTCCAACCCTCAGCCTGTGGGCCGCATGTGGCCCAGGACGACTTTGAATCCAATCCAACACAAATTTGTAAACTGTATTAAAACGTTATGAGATTTTTTTGCGATTTTTTTTTTTGCTCATCAGCTATTTTTAGTGTTTGTGTATTTTATGTGTAGCCCAAGACCATTCTTCTTCCAATGTGGCCCAGGGAAGCCAAGGATTGGACAACCCTGCACTGTATTTATTGAACATCTGTTTGTGAAGGCTGTGCATCTGGATGTCAGACTTGCTAATGAAAAATTAAATGGAGTCCACGTTTTGGGTATAGCCCTAGGCCAACCACCCACAGCCACATAAGGCATTTAAAATACACTGATTTCTCCCTTGAGTTCAGGAGTTGGAGACTGCAGTGAGCTACGATGGCACCACTACACTCCACCCTGGGTGACACAGCGAGACCCTGTCTCTCTTAAAAACAACAGGCCTGGCGCGGTGGCTCACGCCTGTAAATCCCGGCACTTTGGGAGGCCGAGGTGGGCGGATCACGAGGTCAGGAGTTCAAGACCACCCTGGCCAACATAGTGAAACCCCATCTCTACTAAAAATACAAAAATTAGCCGGGCATGGTGGCGCGTGCCTGTAGTCCCAGCTACTCGGGAGGCTGAGGCAGAAGAATCGCTTGAACCCGGGAGTTGGAGGTTGCAGTGAGTCGAGATCGGGCCACTGTACTCCAGCTCGGGCAACAAAGTGACATATCGTTTCAAAAACAACAACAGCAACAACAATTCCTTATTTCCCTGAAAAGTGTGCGCTGACCAGGAAGGAAGCTTTTTTCTCGTCCGCATTTTAAACGGAACCAATCAGCTACAGATGCAAGGCTGATCCAGCTCGACTTACCCTAGAAGGAATGCAAGTTGATAATGGCCAATTACAATCAAGATCACTGCACTTCCTCATTTAGCTTTCTAAGCTGCCATTGGAACAATTTGCCAGCTGTTCCTCTGCATGCACAATAAACTCAAAACTTTAACTGGACGGGATTGTTAACTTTTGAGAAATTCCTAAATGCCGCTTCTTCACAATCACGTGAACACCTTCCACTAACAACCACGGCTCATCTCCCACTCTAACAAAACCAAGCCCCGGCGTTCACCAGCCATTCATTCTTCGGACTTTGCTCCTCTCGCTGCTGAAGACTTGACACCGCCGAAAATACTCAAAAGCCGGTGCCACGGGTCCCGAGAGCTGCCGCACAGGCCCGGGAGCGTCCCCTGAGAGCCGGGGGTCTCCGCAGTGGCCTCCCCCAAGCACCCACGCCCCCCACAACACTCGCTTCCTTCTCCCCAAACCTGCTGATGCCTCCGAATCTCCGCCGCGCCGCCTCCACCAGGTGCGGCCGCGGGGCTGGGCTCTCCTCTCGGGGTTCCCAGGCCCGACCCGGGGTCTGTCTGGTCCGCGCCCCTCGGCGAACCACCCCTTGCCCGAGCAACGGGCACAACCACCCTGGCAGCCTCAGAGCCTCTCGCTGGCTCCACCTGCGCTCGCCGAGCGAAGCGTCCCTGCCAGCGGCCCCTCTAGGACCGCGGAGGCTTCGCGACTCTCTTGTCAGACAAAGAGAGTGGCGCCCGCGCGAGTGGGCCCGGACCAATCGACGGCCGCCCTCCCGCCCAGACCAATCAACGGCCGCATACAGCACCCGGAGAGTCACGTGACGAACAGGGCCCCGCCCCTCCTGTTTAAACACAACACTATTTACAATTATTCTATGATTCAGGAGCGACACAATTCGTTTCTTTGGCTGTGTGTTTGTGGAGGGGAGAAAGGTTATCAGAGGAAGGAAGAAAAATGGGCCAGGCGCGGTGGCTCACGCCTGTAATCCCAGCACTTTGGGAGGCAGAGGCGGACGGATCACGAGGTCAAGAGATTGAGACCATCGTGGCCAACATGGTGAAACCCCGATTCTACTAAAAATAAAAAAAAATTAGCAGGGCGTGGTGGCGCGCGCCTGTAGTCCCAGCTACTCGGGAGGCTGAGGCAGGAGAATCACTTGAACTCGGGAGGCGGAGCTTGCAGTGAGCCAAGATCCGGCCACTGCACTCCAGCCTGGGCGACAGAGCGAGACTCCATCTCAAAAAAAAAAAAAAAAAAAAAATTAGATTTTAATTAGAGGGATAATTGTGTGACTTATGTAAATTACCCCCAAAATAAAATTTTAATGTGAGTAAGGAGTTAATTTTTCCTTTTTTTTTTTTTTTTTTTTTTTTTTTTGAGACGGAGTCTGGCTTTGTTGACCAGGCTGGAGTGCAGTGGCGCTATCTCGGCTCACTGCAAGCTCCTCCTCCCGGGTTCACGCCATTCTGCCTCAGCGTCCTCAGTAGCTGGGCCTACAGGCGCCCGTCACCATGCCCGGCTACTTTTTTGTGTGTGTTTTTAGTAGAGATGGGGTTTCACCATGTTGGCCAGGCTGGTCTTGAACTCCTGACCTCAAGTGATCCGCCTGCCTCGGGCCTCCCAAGTTTGTTTGTTTTTTACTTCTAAAACAACAAAACAGGCCGGGCGCGGTGGCTCAAGCCTGTAATCCCAGTACTTTGGGAGGCCGAGACGGGCGGATCACGAGATCAGGAGATCCAGACCATCCTGGCTAACACAGTGAAACCCTGTCTCTACTAAAAAACACACACAAAAAAACTAGCCGGGCGAGGTAGTGGGTGCCTGTAGTCCCAGCTACTCTGGAGGCTGAGGCAGGAGAATGGCATAAACCTGGGAGGCGGAGCTTGCAGTGAGCTGAGCTCCGGCCAGCCACTGCACTCCAGGCTGGGTGACAGAGCGAGACTCCGTCTCAAAAAAAAACAAAACAGGACACATCTGCAGAACGTGCAGGTTTGTTACATGTGCCATGGTGGTTTGCTGCACCTATTGACCCGTGCTCTAAGTTCCCTACTGTTACCTGGGACTCCCCAACAGGCCCAGGTGTGTGTTGTTACCCTCTCTGTGTCCATGCGTTCTCAGTATTCAACTCCCACTTGTGAATGAGAACATGCTGTGTTTGGTTTTCTGTTCCTGTGTTAGTTTGCTGAGGCTGATGACATCCAGCTTCATCTATGTCCCTGCAAAGGACAGGATCTCATTCCTTTTAATGGCTGCTTAGTATTCCATGATGTGTATGTACCACATTTTCTTTATCCAGTATACCATTGATGGGCATTTGGGTTGGTTCCATGTCTTTGCTATTATAAATAGTGTTGCAATAAACAGATGTGTGTTGGCCGAGCACAGTGGCTCACGCCTGTAATTCCAGCACTTTAGGAGGTCAAGGCAGGCAGATTACTTGAGATCAGGAGTTTGAGACCAGCCTGGTCAACATGGTGAAACCCTGTCTCAACTAAAATACAAAAATTAGCCAGGCATGGTGGCAGGAGTATGTAATCCCAGCTACTCAGGAGGCTGAGGCAGGAGAATCGCTTGAACCCAGGAGGCAGAGGCTGCAGTGAGCCAAAATTGTGCCATTGTCCTCCAGTCTGGGAGACAGAGTGAGACTCTGTAAATAGACTGTACCATTGTACTCCAGCCTGGGCGACAGCTGTGACCCTAACGTGATTTGAACACGCAACCTTCTGATCTGGAGTCAGATGCGCTACCGTTGTGCCACAAGGTCTTGGAAATGTAGGTTTTTTGTGCTTTAGATGGACCCTATTTCAGCAGTTGTCAGGTGTAGTGACCAGTATAGTTTTTTTTAACTATCCTTTAATTAATTAATTAATTAATTAATTAAAAATACAAGAGTTGGGATCTTGCCGTGTTGCCCAGACTGGTCTCGAACTCCTGGGCTCAAGCGATCCTCCCATCTCAGACTCCCAAAGTTCTGGGATTACAGGCATGAGCCATCCCACCTGACTCCTGTTGCTTTAACAGAAAACGGGAACACTCAGTGCTCCAGGTTCGAGACATTTGAACATAGGGAAAGCAGTGAGGTCAGGCCTGGCCACCTGTAGGCAGAGGACAAGGAACTCAGTCCAGCAGGTCGTTCCAGGAATACGAATGTGGGGAGGGAGCCGGATGACAGGTCAGGCCAGCGCAGTCCTGTAGGAGTTGCTCGGGGAAGACTACTGACTTCCTCCTCATTTGTTTTGAATAAAGCTTTCTCCTAGTGGCGCTTGAACTTCAAATGCTGGAGATCAGGCTGCACCACCAACGCTTTTCCAAGGACAGCAGCGCCCCCAGGGTGGGCGGGTAGTTTCTGGATTGGGAAGGCAACTATTTACTGAGATCTGAACCGTTTTATTTATTTTTTCAGTTAGAGACAGCGTCTCACCTTGTCACCCAGGTTGGAGTGTAGTGGCACAATGATAGCTCACTACAGCCTCAACCTCCCGCACTCAAGGGATCCTCCCGCCTCAGTCTCCTAAGCAACAGCTGGGACTACAGGTATGCGCCACCACATCTGGCGTTGTTGTTTTTGTTTTTGTTGTTTTGTTTTGCTTTTTTGAGAGAGTTTTGCTATGTTGCCCAGGCTGGTCTTGAACTCCTGGGCTCAAGCAATCCGCCCGCCTCAGCCTCACAAAGTGCTCCTGCACTGTTTTAAGGTCCTATCTGAAGTCCTGTGAATGTACTATCTGAAGCACAGTCCCGATAAATCCTGCTACAGATGTGAACAGCACGACCTAAATATTGGCTCTGAATTTTTCCTCACGCTTTAGCTAAGGTGCTGGTCCACTGCTGAGGTACCTATGCAAAGAAATCTTTAGGACTGGAGAACAGAAAATACAGTGTCCAACGTTAGCGGCAAGACGTCTATATAACTCCTGGTGGCTAAAGAAAGGGATGATCATGTTTGACCCCGACGTGACTTGAACACGCAACCTTCTGATCTGGAGTCAGACGCGCTACCGTTGCGCCACGAGGTCTTGGAAGCATAAGTTTTTTGTGCTTTAGATGGACCCTATTTCAGCAGTTGTCAGGTGTAGCGACCAGTATAGTTTTTTTTTACTATCCTTTTATTATGGTTTGGGATTGACTAAGAGTTCTTTCCCTTTTGTAATGCAGCTATTCGGAGGGAAGTGTAAAAGTAAACGAAACAGGATAGAAACAGATGCCACCACGGGGTTCGTAAATAATCCTCTTCTCATTCGGGAAAATTCACCTCCCTCAGGCTATGGAGTCTCCTAAAGAGAAATGTATGGGAAGCCACAGTGGAAAATGACAAAGCGCAGTTTAGCGGAGAAGGCTGGGGCGGGGTTGTGAGGGATTCGGATTTTCTTCTCCCCAGCCCTCTGCACGGGGAACACTAAGAATTTGCACGTGAGCCAGATCAACAAAAGAGTACTATGTTCAGGCCGGGCGCGGTGGTTCACGCCTGTAATCCCAGCACTTTGGGTGGCCGAGGCTAAGCGGATCACCTGAGGCCAAGAGTTCGAGACCAGCCTGGCCAACATGGTGACTCCCCATCTCTACTAAAAATATAAAAATTAGCCAGGCGTGGTGGCGGGCGCCTGTAATCCCAGCTACCCGGGAGGCAGGAAAATCGCTTGAACCCGGAAGGCGGAGGTACAGTGAGCCGAGATCGTGCCATTCCACTCCAGCCTGGGCGACAGAGCGAGACTCCGCCTCAAAAAAAAAAAAAAAAAAAAAAAAAAGTATATTTGGAATAATCTGCTCCCTTCAACCCACCCCCACCTTCCCTGAAACAACCCCAGTTCGTTAACTAAAACCTTGGCATTTATAGGTATACAATCACAGCTCCTGCGCCCTCAGCCCTTCCATCCGCCCCAGGAGATCGGGCATCGCGTCGCTTCCCTCCGGCCTCTTCCCGGGCCTTCCAGGATTCCAGTGTGCGGATCCTGGGCTCTGGCGGCTCCTGCGTCCCCGCGAGTGTCCAATGCCAGGTGGGGAAAAGACGGGGGCGCGGGTGCCACCGGCCACTCCTGACTTTCGCTGCTCTCCTGCGCGGCCCACGGACCAGCAGCCCCCTCAGCTTCCCCTCCCACAGCCCTCAAGTCCATCCGCACCCGGAGGCTGCCTCTTCCCGGACACAGTGCAGTCAGGTCTCTTCGGTCCCTCATAGTCTTCCAGGTCCCCTTCTCGCACCTCCGCAGAAGGCGCGCGCTGCCCGCTCTCTATGCCCTCCCCTCCCAGAACAGACCTTAAGTCAGACCCTCAGGCCAGACTTGGCACCGCTGAGTCAAACAAAGCAGTGAAACTTACGACTTCCTAGGTGGACCAGGAAGGTCCCCAGGCCGAATTCCTGCCCCACGGAGGACCTGACACCTGGGGTCCAGTAGACCCCATCCCTGATCCCTCCTGCGGGGCCATCTGCCCCAGCCCCAGGGAGTGGGAGTTACACAGGTCCTGGGGCGATGGGCAGGGTTTTCCCCGGGGGTTCAGTTGCTTAGGGACGCAGCCCAAGGCGGGTTATAAACTCCTAAGACTACATTATACCTGCATTATACCATGGATGGTCAACAGGCGTGAAACTTTTGAAGATA